GAAAACTAAGCCAATTTCTTTCCCCCAAAAAAATTTGTTTGGATAATTAAATATCCAAAAGATTAAGGTGAATGTGAAAACATTTCATTTACATACACGCAACCTGCATCTTTTGACAAATACAAAGTTGAGACCTTAATAATCCATTTAATGCCATTTAATATATTTAAACTTTTCATGCCTAATGTTTTTAAAGAGAATTTTAAATCCTTGAAGGATTCACAGACACAGTGTTAAAGGGTTAGTTCACCCAAAAATGAAACTTCTGTCATTAATTACTCATCCTCATGTCGTTCCAAACCCATCAGACCTTCGTTCATCTTCGGAACACAAATTAAGGGTGTATTCACACCTGTCTTGTTTGGTTCGATTGAATCAAACTCAAGTTCGCTTCTCCCTTTGGTGCGGATCTTTTGGGCAGGTGTGAATACAGCAATCACACTTGGGTGCGGACCAAACAACAGTACTGAGACCCAGCTGAAGAGGTGGTCTCGGTCCGCTTCCAAACGAACTATGGATGAACCAATGAATGGATGACCTTAAGCACACGTATGGTTTTGTTTACAGTTTCTGGTTCACTTGCAAAAAGGGCAGTGTGAAAGTGAACCGAACCAAACAAAAAAAAAATCAACATTGTATTTGGTCCGGACCAAAGCAAGTGAACTAGCGGACTTTCCTGGTGTGAATACACCCTAAAATATTTTTGATGAAATTCAAGAGCTTTCTGAATTAATGACAGAATTTTCATTTTTGGGTGAACTATCCCTTTAAATCTTCAGCCCAACAGCCTGAAGTACACACCGCATGGCAACTTTTGAAAACAGTTATGGGTGATGTAACAAGGACATATCGAGAAGGTTATCTGCTTATGTTGTGACATTGCTTTTGGGTGAGAGCGGCTGTCACTTTTCTGAGGTGGCATTTTTGTAATGAAATGTTTACTCTCATATCAACAATTTTATTTTTGGTGCACAGGTGGAAGTTGCTGGGAAGGGCGGCGACATGCTGGGAGGTAACATGAGGACAAGATCTAAACTGCCAGGATTGTGTAACGTTTTTGCCCTCCTCCGCGCTGCTCCAAACCAGGACTTGACAGAGTGCAACAAGAATGGGAGGTAACATGAGGACAAGATCTAAACTGCCAGGATTGTGTAACGTTTTTGCCCTCCTCCGGCACTTTGAGAACTCTGTTAAGCATGTCATTCAGAAAAACAACAATGTGACTTGTTTTTATAGAAAAAGAAAGCATTTTGAAAGAAAATAAAATTTTACCGAAGGGTTACAAAAGAAACCAGCTCCTTTCTAGGATTGATTAAACCATGAATCTGAGAATAATAATCTATATTGACAGATTCATTTTGATATTATTTTGATGCTAATTAGCATCCCTACATGTACACACTCACCATTAATTATTGAAAATCTACTGTCACTGAAAATAAGTCATTAGCATGTTGTTTTTGAATCTATGTGAAAATGTTGCCATCCTTCTGATGATTTCATGTGCTGTAGCACAGGTGTGCTGAGAATGTTAAATGAACTCATTTGCCTCTGTTAACGAGTGACACTAAATGTGGCCTGATTGCCTGCAGCTACAGAGGTAAAACTATGAGTAAAGCAGCTGAAGGCGACCCTACCACCTACACAGTCTTTCGTAGTATGAATCACTCAATTCAACACCATGTTGGACCAAAGGTGAGGCATTGAAGTGTATGTCAAAGGACAAATGCGTTATGAGCTTGTGTTGCAATGCAGCACCTCAAGGTTTGAAAAATTACAAAACCTGTCCAATACATATTTCACCACAAAGACAAGAGAAATAAGACAACATTTATTTTAATAATTGTTATTAATACTTAACATTTCTCCCTAATTCTTTAAAAAAAAGAAACATTACTGTAAAAAGTAAAAGGTTTAGAGACATACAATTTAGAGAAATGTGCTTAAATGTGCTTAATGTTCATATAAATAAATGCCACAAAAAGGAAAAATCTGAAACAGGCTCTGAACCGAGGCGGCATTTATTTGATCAAAAAAAATTAATAAATAAAAACAGTAAAATTGTGAAATATTATTAAAATTTAGAATAATTACCACTTTTTCCAGAACAAGGCCCAAACCGATACTATTATTTTTGGTACTTGCCGATAACGATACAGATACCTGTATTTTCACTGCATTTGTAATTTTTAAAAATACTGGGTACAGAAACCAAAAGAATATGAATAATATAAGTTGGCTTAGTTCATTTAGCAAATAGATATTTCCTTCAGTCATTTTCACACTTAATTATGCCCATTAAAATGTATTGTACAAGCTTTTGTTACATTCACTGTTCATTTTATTGCTCTATGGTATTTCATCTTTAATTTAATAGCACATTAGATCTGCTCCACTGCGGCGGCTCAGTACTGTAATCACAAGACGTTTTCCTGTAACAACGCAGGGAACCCTCATTATACATAAATCTTGTAACAGCGATGAACATGCTTTCTGAAATATAAGTCCCGATTTTTATCATCTGACAGTGCTGTGACTTACATTCCAAAGCCACTCATATAACGCAATTAACTCCAAGCAAGCAAAACATGCGCAAAGCACGAACACAATTGTATTGGTGAGAGGGACACGTACAGTACAGCCTAGTGCACTTCACACAGGCTGCTAGTTTCACTTTCGATTTTCACTTTCGTCCTATAGGCTTAACGTTAAAAAAATGTTGTTTATTGTGACTTTATATTTACGATTTAGTTTTAATCCAAATTATGCATGCTCTCTCTCCTTACCGCCAAGTAACTGTAGTAAACTTGTGCATTGTTTTACTTACTTGCTTTTGACATCCGACCGAACGACAAACTTTCCAGTGATGTCTGTGCTGCCGCACGCTCAAACCACTCAAGTGTGCTTTGCTTATCAGCTCGCGCACATCGACTATACAGGCCAGTATCGGTATCGGTGCATGTGAGTGGGTGTGAATTATATTATAAATTATAGAAATATAATACTTTTTCCTCTTTTGATATTGGGGTGACAATATTTTTCTTTCTTTTTTTTTTGTGAGATTCACATGGTTATTGACAGAATTGGAATAATGCAACCTGAAATAAAGCAACCTTATCTGGCATACTTAGAGTATCTAGCATGTGCCAAAAAGCAGTAGATAATGAGTGATAACTGACCAGGCAAAGAAATGACTATCATCAACGCTGGAGCTCAGAGAAAGCCAATAATCAATAGCAGACTGGTTTAACCACCGCTGGTCAGTTACGAGAGTTATTCATCTGCATGTGAACCGAGTGCACTGCCAGTGTTTCCAGGAACTCACTATAACGCAACTCAGACAGCAGAAATGACTAACGAGTAACATATTCAAGGTCTGCATAGACCAGGGGCGGCTTCTTATTTACAGCAGCGATAAAGAAACTATACTGGTATCTCCCTTTCGACCCGATTCTGCTGCTAGTGTGTTTTTTTTACACATGTAGAGTAGACCCTTAGGATTGGGTGTTTGTGGAACATGTGGGACAGGCACTGCTTAAAGGTCTGCTGGAACATGATCTCGCTGGAGCTGTTCAGAAGGTTACATCATATCACCACCTGCCAAAATCACTTACCATAGCTAGAGCGCCAGTACACACAGACTCATTCATTGTTCTGATTTGAGTGCATTAGCATTAGTGATTATGCTAAGAAGCTTTTGTTTGTTCTCAAATCACAACAGTGACCGATAAAGGCAACATGGGATAAAGCGGTCACCTTTGGCCTATTATAAAAAGCAGATTGTTTAATTTATAAATTACATCCTAGGCACCACCTAGTTTGTGATCTGATGAGAGTCTTGTGCATAAGATAATGGTTGCCTTCACATGAACACTACTACAATGCTGTAATTATCAGTGGGAAACTCGGCTTTCTGGGTTTGGAGTGTATCAGTCAATGAATGTTCACCGGGAGTGATGAAAGAAAAAAAAGAAAATAACATGAAATTGCCAAATACATGCTTATTATTCCAACTAAAATCATTTTAATGCAATCATGATTCTGAGTGGAAAGTCTGAAGGCACCATATGATCACATTACACACTATTAAAAAAATGCAGTGCTGTCCAGGATATGTTATGACCCTTGACCTTTATGGGAGTCAATAACAGTAATTTTGAATGTGCACAAGGGCAGCAGGCTCTGTGTATTATTCAAGGTACCGCTGATTTAGGACAGACACCTAAATACTTTGATGAAAATAAGTCTTTTTAGTTCATGGACTTACTTAAAACAACTTTCTGAACAGGACAGGCAGAGTTTTATACACAAGCATACACTACCATTCAAAAGTATGAGATCAGTATGATTTATTTTTTAGGAAATGAATATGTTATTCAGCAAAGACACATTAAATTGATTAAAATGACAGTAAAGACATTTATAATGTTACAAAAGATTTCCATGTGAAATGCATGCTGTTAAGCACAAATGTTTTGAACATTGCTAATAATCATAAATGTTTCTTGAGCAGCATATCAGCATATTAGAACTGAAGACTGGAGTAATGACACTGAAAATTCAGCTTTGCATCACAAGAATAAACAATATTGTAAAATATAGTCAAATAGAAATTTTAGTTATTTTAAATTGCAATAATAGTCCACAATTTTACTGTTTATATACTAGAGGGAACCAGAGGTTTGTCTTGAATATTCCTGCTACAAACGGTCTGAGTAATTCCAGGATTCACCTTCATCCATGTCATATGAACAAATGTCACTGGGCATTTCATTACAACACGGAAAAAAACCTAGAATGGTGGTTTATATACTAGAGGGAACCAGAGGTTTGTCTTGAATATTCCTGCTACAAACGGTCTCTGAAGCAGCTGTACCTGTTCCATGTCCTTTCCAAAAACACAGAGCCCAGCTTAAAAAATAAAAAAATATATATATTTTTTCATTTTCCTTAGAGAAAATAAATAAGCCATCTTAGCACCAACATGCATTTACACTCACCACACTATCACCTCTATTTCCGCAAGGCAAACACTTTTTAAGGATCCAACCCAAGTGTCTCAGCACCTGCAATAACATTACAGAAAAAGGTGAATGAAGCAGAATTTGTCAAGCAAGACGTGAAAAAAAAACAAAAAACATCAGCTGCAATGCACGCCCCAATTAAACCAAACTGTCCAAGGTCAATAAAATCATGTTTGTGGACTTTTGCAGCAACTGCTAGTTTAGATGGAAAATGTCATATCTTTCGCCATCTTTCTGCTGGGAGACTCCCATTATTGTTTTCCCATCTCTCCTGGGTAAGGTAACAGCCTGAATGAATGTCTCTATGGACTTTCTTAAAATGTCCAATAAATCTCAATGTCGCCCTGTAATTTTCTTTGGGTTGCCACTTACATTTTTCATGACAAAAACACCAGAATGAATGTCTTGAAAACCATCCACACTGCCTTGTACGTGTGGTATTTGGAAAACAGGTTAAAAGCATAAGCTGACTGACATTACAGTAGCTGGATTTCACTAATGTTTGTGAAACTGTCAGCATTACTATGTAGCTGAGATATATATTATTTTAAGATAAGGGCACACCTAAATCTACAAGAGAGACTAAACAGGTTTCACCACCGTCAGGTAAGACTGATTGCAAATTGTTTTGACCTACACTGTTTATTGCTTTAACCTACATACATCATTGGATAGGTTTTCTAATGGGCCAATTAGGAAAAAACATTGTAAATAAATAAATAAAGCTAAAACAATAGAGACCTTATGGAAAAAGTTTGATTTTATTTGATAGTTTTGTATTACCTTAACTAATTAGCACCAAAAGAGGAACACATTCCCAATTTTTGAAAGGAATAACAAAATCTGCCATTACTCAGCTAAACTAAAAGGGTATTTATTGCCTTGTCAAATGGTTTCACCTAGAGATGATACAAATTATAAACAGCCACTTGTTAGTTTCATAATCTCATCATCAAGAAAACTTGCTGTCACATAACCAAAACATGGTGTCTGAAATATGGTCCTAAGTTGAAATCTTGCCCTGCCACATACCGGCAACTAAATCAAGCCTAAAAGTAAAAAAAATAAATAAAATAAAATAATCATCCAGGGCAGTTTTCCCAGGTGCAGATTAAGCCTAGGTCTGGAAATTATTTCTGCATTCGTGAATCACCATCTTGGGCTCACCCTGTAATTTTTGAAGGGCGCATGTGTTAGTTTCCACAGCCGAGCAATGAAAAGCATGTACTGACATGGCTGTTAAGTTACAGCTATTGGCGGGTTTCAGTGGTCTCTTGTCTACCAAGGTTAGGCTCGAACAGAGAAGGGTGGAAACTACTTCCTTCAAGCTGCCTGCTCTCAGTCCATGTCTTGCGGGGTCTCTGAGACTTCTTTGTGCTGTTGCACCTGCTGCGTCTATCTGTTTCCCAGAGCAGCGCATGTTCCAGTTAGCTCAGATTATTGGCCTGCGCTTGCTAAGCGAAGTAACAGGTGTCGTTACAGTGTCAAGGCAAAGAATGTCTGATCTGAGAGAAAAGGTTTGTTAAAAACCAACTTGGGAACTGAAATCAGTTCTAAATCAATTCGATTACATTGCCAATTCTTGTGAAAATAAAAATGGGGAAGTGAAAATGTGAAAATGATTGGGGAAGCACGTCCAATCCATTGGAAACATTTGCATAACTCATTCTGAATCACGCAATTGCTTAATTAATTTACACTTCAACCAAAAATGTTATAATGTCTACAGCTTGCTACATTAGGCCCGAACCATTCTCTACCCAAGCTCAATTTACTGTGTCGTTGTGTTACAAAATGTGTCAGACTGCAATTAATAACGCAACTCAAGCACATTGCCAAAAGCACTATAACAGACATTAGTGTAAATCAACACTAATACTAATTAGAATTGTACAGTGTACCAGTGCTACAGAAGTATCGCATAGGGCTGTCACGATAACCTCAATATTGTAATATCGCAATACTGACAAGACAACCACAGAGTATGACAAGCAACCGCCACAACTGCAATGTTCACTTTTTTTTTCTTCATGAGGCTATGCCTTTGTTTTACACTTAATGCATGTGTATTGAATGTTTAATAAATTAATAATTATAACAAGAGTGAAGCTGAAGAGAGTAATATTTTTACACCAACTGGCTCTTTTTTACAGCATTAAAGAGCAGGTCATATGGGTTTTTGAAAAATATCTCTTTTGCAGTTTATAACGTAGCTAACCTTAAATGAAAACAATCTGCAAAGTTGTTAATCAAAAAAGTGCATGATAAATAAAGATATTGTCTCTCAAAAGAGAGAGTCGATTCTGAATCGACTTAACGAGTCGTAATTTTTGAATCTTTTGCCTGTTACCGGTATACGTCACTGGGTAACATTTGCATAATCCCTGCCTGCCCGCGAAATACGAACAGAGTCTGACCTGCCCACAAACACTTCTGCTAGTTAGTGTGTTTACATCATGTTGAGAAGACGCTGTGTTCAAGGATACCACAGAAATACAATTCGAACCTTTTGTTGTGTGCATGTCATTTTACCAAGGACTGCTTCTCTAATCTTTTATCTTCGTTGGCTTCTAATCTTCTTAATTTGGGCTAACAAGCTCTACCAACCACAACCTTTACGATTGATATGTTATGTGTACATTTTCAACTGAGTGCTCAAAATATCAAGTTTTTGTGCTAATATGTGATGTATACTTAGTGCAGCTTTAGGTTTCCAGGTAAAGATTTTATTTTTTTTCCAGATATTACTGTCTTACTGAAGTAGTTCCGATAATTCACTGTCAACCCACTATTTCCTAAGAATGTGTTGATTAATGTAGACTGACGTTGTTCTAATTACTTCGTTTAATAATAAAGAATGTAGTATAGCGCACAGACTTTATAATCATTGTGAAATTGCTGTTTATTTTGCTGCACCGGCAGCTATAGGGTTAATGCGGGAGAGACGAGTGAGCTAGTTAGGCTGGTGCGTCTGTGAGCTCTTCTGCGTTCTGATTAAAGTTAAGACAGAGCGTCTTTTGTCTGTCGTTCTTCAAACATTACAGTAGACATATTTTGGTTTACAAACTGCATTGTTTCATCAGTTAGTCACGTTAGCACTCAGCTAACGTATCCACCATTATTGTTTTAAGTGTTCACAGTTTAGCAGCTAAACTTTAGCTGTGGGCACGATTCGCTTGCATAATTGTTAAACAAAAAAAATACCATATGACCTGCTCTTTAAGACTCTGTGTACCATTGGGATCTGTACAGAGGTTCCTTTGATTTGCACTAAACTGACAAAGAGAGAGAGAGAGAGAGAGAGAGAGAGAGAGAGAGAGATCGAGTGAGCATGCGCGATTACCTGCGTCTGCCCTTCTTCAGGGCAAGTCATATATTCATGAAAAAAAGTCAGTTTGCCATCAGCTGTCAGAAGATGAAAGCGATATCTTTATCATAGCATCTTTTCAGCGTTTAAGGGGATTTCCCATGACTGGCATCAGCGCTGTTCAATTTACTCAATCAATGGCATTGTTCTCCCTGAAGTGAAACATCAGCTTTAGCATTACCCAGGTAACGCGTTGATCGTCGATTGAGCCTTGTAAAGTGGCGCTCAAAGTTAAATTAATTTCAACACCTTGTTTCAATTATGAATGAAACGTATTAGTTGACTCACTCGTAAAGACAGTCCCTTGCCTCCACCTCTTGGCGTAAGTAACAATGTATCTGCACTGACTGACATCCTGTGTAAAATGAGCGCAGAGTCAAGTCCCTGTACTCATACTGTTGAAATGTCAACAGCAGTGTTTGAAAGCCACTTTTCCAGTCATATTCGAGCATCAGAACTTACTATTATACGTATATTAACATACCAATGAGCTTAAATAAATAAATGGAGATAATATTGCATACTCAAAATCACTGCAAAGGAAATTTCTTCACGGCGACAGCCCTAGTATCGCAATGCCCAAGTCTCAAAATACCACATTATTTGAATCCAGTTCTTCAAACGCCATTCACACAAGGCGTGAGACAAAGTGCAACGTAATGAAACAACGCTGAAATTCAAAGACAAACTCCTTTTAATTTGACAGCATCTTATAAAAGCAAAACCATAAAACCACTATTTTAATATTTCATGTTTCTGCTAAATACTGTACCTGAAAATAAAGCACGGTTTGTTTTATTTGTATATTATGTGTATTTGTAATATTTTTTTGTTCTTATTTTCTAATAACAAAAATAAAATAATGACAAAGATTTTGGCCTAAATGTCTGCCATTCTTTTTTATTTCATATTTTGTTACGTCTGATGAAGAGCCTGCGTGCTCGAAACGTCACACACGCTATGAGACAGTTTTTTAAATACATTTTTGATACTTTTGGTGCTTTGGTGTTGCCGACTTTACATTTAAACGTTTGTTCCATTTGTTTCTTAGTCGAGCACCCAGTTGAGATCGATGTGAGTGCTTTTGCCGGCTCTTTGATATTTTGTTACCTTGAAAGGCTTTTTTTTTTACAATAGGGAAATTAGTTTGGCTGTACTGCTCAGGCAACTTGAAAAATAGTAAAACCAACATGACAAAGAATCGTGAAAATCGTGAATCGTGATATTCCTGAATAAAACGGTGATATGATATATTTGCCATATCGCCCACCCCTAACTTGTGCTACAACTGTTTGGCCTGTGCTACAAAACTTTCAACCTTTGTAGCACCAGTGCTATGTGCAAAAAAAGTTAACGTACAGCCCTGCCTTCAGTTTTCAGTAAAAAAAAATAATCATCTAAATTCTAATATTTAATTTTTTTTTCACTTAAATACTTCCAACATTCAAAATTTAAAATAAAATTTTTATTTGACAGCCCTACTGTGTGAAAGTACAAAAATTCAAACATACATTTAAAACTACACTCTTTTGTATATTAATACTGCAGTGTATTACAAGTATTAATAATATATTGTGTAAACTGTAAATAATTAAAACAACAGAAAAGCCTTTGCGATAATGGACCTCACTGAAGTCCACAACAGTCACCACGGGAGGTTCTCATGCTGATATATCACATTCTATTTTTCACACAATTAATCAAGCTGTCATGATACTTTATCTGGTATATTACTGACACCAAAAATATATTGTGACAATAACAGTTTTCTCTTTCAGGTCAACTATTGTCAGAGCAGATATTGCATTATACTATCAACAAGAGTTAAAGAGAAGATGACAATAGGTTATCATGCAACTGTAGGATTAACTTGGTAACATCTATGTTGTGCTGTTGAATCACCTTTTAGTGGAACAAATCACCATGGCAATTTATATTCTCGGGTTTAGCTCAGGTGAGCAATTATTCTCTTATCCTAAGCTTTTAAGCTGAAACCTTTGTTTAAACCAACAAGACCGTGTCCAATCTTCAACCAACAGGCCTCAATATCAACAATCTGCTTTGCCCTGATAACTTTAATCAATGCACACTATAATAAATACTGTAGGCTTTTTTGTTTGTTTGTTTTCTAGTGAAAGAAAACAGTTTGTTGTCTGCAGTACAGTTGTAAGCAGGGGACCTAGATTCACACTGAGAATGTGATAAAAGAAAACCCCCCTTCTTCAGAAAGTCTGCCACTGAAATTGAAACTTCACGTACTTGAGCACACAAAACGTTTTCGGCAATCTTCACAATGCTACCTAGCTAAAAGGAAACAGATGTCACGGTTTCCTTTCAAAGAGCAGTTAGTCTTAGACACTCCTACACACCAAAGTGACAGTTCAGTGGAGAATGGGAGGCTGTTTCTCATCTCTCTCTCGTAAAGATGGAGTCCCCGTCAGATGCTTTCCATCCCCCATCCGTCGCAATAAGGTAATGAGGGGGGCGTTCGTTAACAACTGTTGATGCACCTGCTAGATAAGCTGAACACCTTCTCTTTGTTCTGAGGATCTTACATCAGACAGGAAGCAGGCAGATAAAAAAGGCCATAATCATGTGCGATTTAGATGGAGCTGCAACAGCTCTGGCACAAAGGTTACAGTTTGCATATTCATCACTAAATGGCGGTTGCCTTGACATGATAAATAATCTCAGGAGGTGATAGCATCTATAAATCAAGTACAGGGTTTTATGAGGCAAAAGAAAAACTAGGAAAGGTCAAGATGGTTGACTAATCAGAATAGCTGGCAATATTATCAACATTTCTTCTTATACTTTACAGGGTTTTATGAGGCAAAAGAAAAACTAGGAAAGGTCAAGATGGTTGACTAATCAGAATAGCTGGCAATATTATCAACATTTCTTCTTATACTTTTTTAGCCAGTTCACATTGTGTGATTCTTATCAGTTTGTATGATATGATCCCAATGATCTTGGTAAAAGCAAAGGCAGATTGTGTGACATCAACCATCAAGCATGTAAGACTGTACGACGTAAACTATTGATTGATTTGATCAAAGATACATGAAAAAAACAATATTGTGAAATATTAATACAATTTAAAGTAACTGTTTTCTTTTTGTAATATATTTTAAAAAGTCATTTATTCCTGTGATGGCATAGCTTAATTTTCAGCAGCCATTACTCCAGTCTTCAGTGTCACATGATCTTTCAGAAATCATTCTAATATGCTGATCACAACAGTAGTTAAAATCAATTAAGTCGTTCAGCCCTACATTATTCGAGTTTGAAAATATGTAGTTTTGCTATTCCTAGAACTCCCTTTAAAAAAAAAACAAAAAAAAAAAAAACTTGCACTTGACTGTTTTATTGATAAGTGCCGGTACTGGATTAAGCTATAGCATTTCATCTGCATTTTAATAATGTAAGCATTTTCACAATTAATAAACAAAATGAATAGTGAATGAAAGTGTGTGAGGCCGTGTTTTTATAAAAGCAGCAGGTCTTAAAGCATCAACTAGGCTAGGTGCCCTTTTCACGGTCAACTCTCTAAAAGATTGATCTTGAAAAAACAACCCAGACACAGATAAGCTTTACTTTGTTTTCTAAAGCCGGAGCGGTAGCCATGCAGGGTCATTTTTTTGCCCAAAGCCAAAACATGGAAATTCAATATTGTTGTACAGCTTAAGTCAAGGAACTGTGGACACAGATTACATGATGGATACAGGCTACACCAAAGCAAACTCCTCTGGCTCCAATTCTACACAGCACCTTCACAACTCACAACAGATGCATATCTTTCCTTTGAAAGCACAATAGTTTGGCTTTCATTACATTTCAGATATGTTCGGATAAACTTCGGACCCCCACATGATGAATATGTCCAAAAATGAGTATGATAATAAGTGAAAGCCTTGCATCTCACTCACCCACACCGCCAGACCATAAGTTGTTTTTTTAGTCCATCATGTTTTAAAAGACCTGTAACAAATACAGGAGTTAAGAGGTTTATTAGGTCTCTATTTTCTTCCATTCTCCACCAGCTTAGAGCCAAACCAATCTCTGCCTCTCTATACTCAGTGTTTCTATGGCAACACTCTCAAGAAAGCCTGACAAGAGGGTCTGAAGTGAAAATAGCATTTATCGTGGTTCAAAATTATATACAGAATTCAGTGATTTCAAAAGCAACCATAATAAAACCAACAGAATAAACTATTCCATGTATAAAAATTGCTTTAGCAGACATTGATTGAACTTGTTTGAGTCTATCCTGCTTCAGTTCTGAATGAAGCTTGGTTTTGAAAGTGCTCAAATTCACGCACCTTGATCCCTGAAACAATACACCCCATTGGAGAGGAATTATCCAGAGAATATTCAACAGACAAACTGAGCTGCAACTCTTGTGAAGGGTTTAGGGGTCTTCGGGGGGATTGAAGTGGTCCTGACTGACAGGTTGAAATGACACTACTTGAGTAAATTACAGGTAATTTCAGCTTCAAAAAGAGGCAGTAAAAACCGCTGTCCCATAAATGGCAAGCACTCAATTTACTCAAGAACTCACATTAATTAGCATTCATAATTAGTTCTCAAACTATGCATGACAAGCTCCGAACTCACTTTGTTATGGAAAAACATTTCAAGTATAACATTTCTGAAACAATATAAAGGCGAGCTTGAGTGGAGCTTTATGTAGAGCATTAGCCAAGAAGCCTATTCCCTGTGTTTACAGATAATAAGATGTATTTGTCTTGACTGAACAGACTAAATTATTGTGGAACAGCAGCATGTTCGTTTGGTACACTTTTGGTTTACGCAACAGTGCTTAGGAAGTCATTTTAACTAGGGATGCACCAATATTATTTAGGGCTGTGTATCACCAGCAAAGTCACGATACGATACATATCAACGCTCAAGGCTGATTTATACTCGACGCGATGATGTTAAGTGCAGTCACGCACACAGATTACGTTGCGGCCGAACTCAGACATTCAGGAACAACCTTTTTAGCGCTGCCCCGCAGTTTTATCAACTAAATAGCTTAATCGCTCAAGAGCTACATTATCTTTCTCAACAAGGAGCTGGTAGCATCATTGTTTCTAAAGGAATTAAAGCCATAGCTTCACTGTTAATAGAGAAACGCGGCAAAACGGTGGTAATTCATACATACACACCCTCTCTCTCTCTCTCTCTCTCTCTCTCTAATCTCTGTGACGATACATCGTCGTATCAATATTTTGAACATAGCACTAATATTATTACTGTGGTGCATAAAGATAAGACGATTATTTCAATCGAGTTTATACTACTTTGTCTAAATTAAAAATAAAAAAGGAAGTCAATCATTATAAATGCTACCTTAAAACTAAAAACAAATTCAATCATTTTAAATGACTGTACATTAAAAATACTCAAATTTAAATCATTTTAAAAGCTACTTTAAAATAAATGAAAAGGGAGCTAAATTATGTTAAATACTACTTTAAAATAAAAAAATCTGATGTTAATTTAAATACTATTTTTTTTCATAAAAAAACTAGTCAACCATTTAAAATATTACTTCAATTCAAAATAAACACAAAAACTGAAATCAATAATTTTAAATGCTACTTGAAAATAAAAACAAAACCTAAAATTATTCATTTTAAATACTACTTCAAATTAAACATTAAAAACTGAAATCAAATGATTGAAATGCTACTTTAAAAATAAATAAATAAATAAATAAATAAATAAATAAATAAAAGTAAATAATTTTAAATGCTACTTGAAAAATAAAGAAATAAAATCTAAAGTAAATTGTTTTAAATGCTACAAGTGAATTTAGGTTTCACAGCATTACAATGTGCAATATTAAAAATAGATATTAATTTGCTAATGATTACATTTAAAAGTATTATTAAATTGTTAGTGTTTTTAAAGATTGAGTTTTAATGAGCGTTAGATGGAAAAGAGGAAATAAAAATGGACATGGAGCCATATATATTGTGCAACTGCTTTCTGAAGCTGCTGTACAGTATTTGGTACAATATCGCGGTGCTCAACCTAAATGTCTGCACTGTCTGTGCAAAAGACATTTTGTTATTTCTGGAAAAAATAAAATAAAAATAGATGAATGACTGTCAAACATCCCATAATTCAGTTACAGCTGTCTACTCCTCCACGGCTGCTGAGACCACATGTGTGTGGCGCTCAAGGTGCCTTGATTTTGACCAAAACAAATAGTTGCAGTCTAGAAAAGAACAAGAGATCTTTTCTTGGCTTACCATGTGATCAGGTCTTGCTCCAATGTGAACCCTTAGCAGACGAGGAGTCTCAACAGTCTGGACATAAAGAAAACACAGAACAAAAAACTGTTACTTGATGCCATGTTGGGTTGCCCACAAGTGAAGGGTCAATAAATAAATCATGTTTGGATTGTGAACATGTCAATAACTTTCCGTTTCTCTTTGAAAAAAAGCAATTGTTTGTCCAAGTGCAGAACATGAGACACTGGTTTCATTTCATGAGAAGATCATACTGTTGAGTTAAAGTGACATTAAGGTTTTTCAAAATGAAAACAGTCCAGTTATTCCTGTATCACAGGGTGCATCAGCCTATCAACATTAATACTTTCAATAAATAAATAAATATATTTACATTATTAAGCAAATCATGTTCATTATTAGCAAAGCACACTACAACACTGAAGACTCACCCTCAGATGTCTGTGACAAACACAAATGTGATGCTAAAAAAGCATCGTTAATGGTCAATGGACGTTAATGGACAATTTGTCTTTGATCTGGGGGCTTTCAAACAAATTTGAAAACCAAAGGCAGTGCAAATCAGTGCAAAAGCAACCTCTAGTGCTAATTCCATGCCAAGTATTTGTGAGAACAAATTTCATCGTAGCTTCAAAAAAAACAACCCTAAGTTTTGACCCATAACCTACAACTAGTTGTGTTAACTAGCACAACAGGAAATTATCCAAGGAAATCATCCAATTATCAAATGGGATTGGTGTTCAGCGCTAAATAAAGGTGGAAACGGGATCTAAAACATTTTATGATCAGATCACTGAAAGCACGTAAGAAGGTAGTCAAAAATGCACGTGACCACACTGTATTTGTAGTGGAAGCGCTGTCCATCCTGAATGCATCCAGGAACGCAGCAAGGCTCAGCCTATTCGCCACCCACTCACCTCAAAATTGAAAGTCAACATTTTAAATGTTACTATAAAAATAAAAAATGTAACATTAAAAATAAAAACTAAAGTAAATAGTTTGAAATGCAACAAGCAAATTTAGGCTTCACAACATTACAACAGTATGAAAATGGTGTGAATATGGCTAATTATTACATTTAACAGCATTATTAAATTTTTACTAAGGGTGCACCGATTGATCGGCTACCGATCACTATCGGCCGATAATCTGGGATGATTGATCGGCGGTCTCTAAAAAGGCCGATCTCAAAAAAACGATCTCAAGCTGGCTGCCGTGAGAGGTTTGGCACGACATGCAGCGTCACCGTCTCAGTCCGGCGCGGGTGAAATAATTATAATGCTTTAGGTGAGGTACTCACTTTCATATTTCTTCATTAAATAACTTATAAAGTAATTTGAAAACCTTGTGTGAGACGTAATTTCACAAACAGCGTGAGTGAATCAGCACTCGTGTGCGCGCTTCTCTAGTTCTCTCTCAAAATATGCAAATGGCTTCAAATCACCACACATCGCGCCTATCTATAAGCGAGCTGCACAGTTGACACAGGAATAGTCATTTGCACAGTCGAGGCAGTGTCACATCGTCACTAAAGTTTATAAATTGCATTTCTTTTTAAATTCTTGCCAGTGTTTAACCATTCAGCGCTCGCGCGCTCTCCTGGAGACTGCGCTCATGCACACTCGCAGCGCACACACATAACTCCGTTTGCAGTGCATATGTGGTCTAAAAATCCTGATTGGAGTATCACTATAAATAGTTATGAATGATAAAAAGAAGGCTTTAAAAAGATCGGTATCTGTGATCGGTATCGGCAGACACTGCTTTCTGTGATCGGCCTCAAAAATCCTGATCGGAGCATCCCTAATTTTTACTGTTTTTAAAGATTAAGTTTAAATGAGTGTTAAGGCCCATTAACTCCAAGAACAATAATTATCATGATAACAATAACTGCAATGTTTTAACTATCGTTCTAATTCTGAGAATAAGGAAATCCACATCACAACAATATCGACACAGAAACGATATCATTTTAATCACTTTTAGAACGAATTTTCCAGCTGATGAATGACAAAAACACCCAATCAGAATCCACGTAAAGAGCTTGAGCATTTAAAGCTGCAGACATCAAAACGGTAGCACAAACTTATAATTAACAGAACGATGCAGCAATGCAACAAACGGTCCAGAAATGCAGCAAAGCTCCACCTATTCGCCACCCACTCACCTAAAACACATGATCGTTCAAACAAGTGATTCAGACTTTACTCTGTTGTGCAATGAATTACAGTGGAAATCGCAGCTGCCCTCCTTTCTTTCCATTCGCTTCCTTCCCGCTCACTCCTAAGCCACACAACATGGATTCGTTCATTCAATAGTATTTATGCACTGTTCCTGCAAAAGTGTAGAGCCCAAAAAAAAAAAGAGGGGAGGTTATATATCCAAATACATTTGGTAACAGAAGACGCTTTTAAAGCAAAGCGCATGTTAATACCAGGTTAAAACAGCGATGCATCCTGGCTGAACACTGGCTGATCGAATCACTTAAAAATGCATCTATAAACAAGGTGGAAACAGAGCCTACCAGTCTTTAAACAAGCTCAGGGCCGATCAGTTTCACTGGTGAAGTACAGTATCAGACTCAACCACTCATCGACCTTTCACAGAATGTCTGTCAAAGTAACAGTGTTTCTAAATTGACTGGTCAGCCTCTACTGACCATCCGGAAATCAGTGTGAACCAGAACCTTGCAAGTTTTATTTATCAAGTTAACAGGCTGCTACAAAGAAAACATAATCTTTCTAAATGTCAAAGCATTGGCTAAAATGTTTGTGTGTGTGTGTGTGTGTGTGTGTGATCTACACTACAATATTATCATCAGGTCAAAATAAATGTATCTTTTAAGCTATGTTTGCTCAAGTGCTGCTAAAGCTTTGCCGCTGCTTGAATGAAAAAGTAAATGCTGACCTGCAAGTCCAAAACCACAAAGTATTTTTGCAGAGCGTGACGTAACCTTTATATTCTTTAAGGCTCTTCAAAACAACTTCCTAGCTTCACAGGAATGGCAGAAGCAATTACTTTTGATTGATAATGTCAAAAGCATCCATTCACAATTCACAGCTCTTGTATTTGTGAATTGACAGGTCTGTAGCCCAAATTTATTTCTTTGTTTGCACACTTTTGAGCAATTCTGCTGTCAAATGTACTGCTTGCATTCTGATTCATTCTCAGAGGTGAATTGAAAATAGAAAAACGCCTCTGGAAAAACTTAATCATTCAAATCCATTCCAAAAAAACAATAATAATACTTACTAAACATGTACAGAGCTCCAATAGGAATATAAAACCGTCTTTACCCACTGGATGTTTTCTCAAATTCAACATTGTAAAACTAAAATTTTAAACATTTTCTCTAAGAGGAACACAAGTGCCTTGGCAACATTAGACAAAGAGATCTCTCTCATCTTCATCCTGGGGGATCTGGATTGATGAGAAACACATCTAAAAGGATTCTTCTATCAAAGTCTATTCCTGCTGCCCATTTACAACGGCCTGGCTGATGCATATGACAGCATCTCCATTTACTTTCTGGCTAGACTATCATTACAACATATTTTTCTCGCACAGCAAAATTTCACCATAGAGATGCCCTTTCCTGAACCTTGACTCTCACCCTTTTAGCGGTCCGGAGTGACTCCGGTGAGAATGGCGGTGCAGAATGAGAAAAAGAGTTTAATTGGGTCATCTGAGACCGGCAAAAGAGATGTGTGGGGCTGATGAAGGTCAGCGGAGGTAAAACATGATAAGGTTACACAGGCATTTCAGAGGGAGAGGGGAAAAAGAGTCGAGGAGGCACAATGGTCGAGAGGCCGGACAGAAGCAAACAAAAGGCCACAAAAGAGAGCTGAGGACATACTTATTGCAACTAATTGGACACAACGTGTAAAATTATATATCAGAGCATGTTCACTGCAATGAAAACCAGCAATGTGTATTATAACTAGTGATGCTGTCTACACCAGATGCGGCGCGGCCGGCGCGACACGACAACACGACAAATCCCAGACAGTAAACTGCTGCCTCATTCCATTTACGACGTACTGACACAAAGTTCAAATGATTTGCAACGGTTGCTTTGTCGTGTCCAGTGTAGATAGACTTTAGCTGTTGTGGTGTGGCACGACAACGGTCACATCCGGTGTAGACTAGGGATGGGCATTTTTCAAAAACATTGTACTCGAATGTTTGGGCTCATAAAAAAACGAATATTCGATTATTCGTTTATTTAACTGAGGTTTAACGAGAAAGATGTTATTTTTTTAATAATCAAGTTTTTGTCACCATTTCTGAAGCTTATGATTAGGCATTATAATGTTCTAAATATGGCTGAAACAATTCCTCGAGTAACTCGAATCCAAAAAATCATAGAGGCAAATTATGTGCTTCGAAGAATCGTTTAGTCCATTTACTAGGGATGCACTGAATTTTCGGCCGTCGAAAATATATGCCGTGCCACCCAGCAGTGTTCAGGTTTCACTCTCCTCTAGCCATCATCACTGCGCCATCTGACGCTACGTTCATTATTCCGCTCTATCAATGTGCATTCTGCTCATTTACCGCTCATGCTCACCGGAAAAGCTAAGTCCGCTCAAATAACGCGCCGATAAGAAATTTCTATGTAGTATACTTGTTCCTGTTTGCAGTACTGGGCAACGCTGGTAAAATGTCGTTCACTGATCTGCTCCCCGCTATGCTCTGCTGATAATATTAGCTTTGCCAGGGTTTTTATATTTTTTATACATGTTTACTTGACATTTCTTTACACAAAACCATAATTTCTATTCAATTCCCACTGATTTACGCGATCTGATGAGCATTAACTCATATTACGCGATCATATCTCTATGAATGAATGAATGGCAGAGACGCGCGTTTTCCTTTACCACACACACACTAAAGCGCGCGTGACGCTCGCGGTGATTTCAGCGTCTGCCGTCGCAATGAGGACATAAACACACGAACAACATCTCCAGAACTGCTCTGAGAGTCACTTCATGAGCGTTTCACCGTTTCATTTGAGTAAAACTAGCGTCATATACACACAGAAATGTAAAGGT